CCTGTCTGCCTGCCTGCCTGCCTACCTGCCTACCTGTCTGCCTGCCTGCCTGTCTACCTGTCTACCTGCCTGCCTGCCTGTCTGTCTACCTGCCCGCCTGTCTTCACCCTCTCTTCCCCACCCCTCCCCGCTGACCTCACCCCGCGGGGAGTCTGGCCAGGAGAGCCCCCCGGTCACGGTCCGGGATCGTTCCCGCCGCGGCGGCGCTGATCCCTCGCCCCGGCTCCCCGAAGCGGACGGGGCTGAGCTCCTGCTGAGCCCCTCTCTCCCTCTCCCTCCCCCCGCGCTCGTCCAGAGCTCTCCCGTCCGGGGCGGCGAGGACGTCCACTACGCCAGCGTGGCCTTCCAGGCCAAGAGAGGAGGACCCGGGACAGGACGCGTCCTGCCAGAGGACAGCGACGCCGTTATTTACTCTGACATCAGAGAGGGGAGGTAGACAGCGCGGCGTCTTGCTCGAGACACCACCAGGGGGCGCTGTGGACCCCCACCCACCCCCCGACTGGCTCCCACTGACGAGAGAGAGAGATGTGGACACAAGCAGAGATGTAGGAACGCAAACACGTGCTGTTGCAATACCAGGCCCCTACACACACACACACACGCAAGAACCACACAAAGACACGCACACATACACACAAAAACCCAAAATGCATACTGACGTGTACGATATTGTGCTTTGAGAATCCTTGTATGTGGCTATAGAATATACAGAGGTGTGTGTATATATCTGTTGGAGATTCATATAGACGATAAAGAGGTACAGTATTACAGTATGTAAGTACCTGAGATGTAGGAGATGTAGAGCTGTAGAAGATATAGTGGTACAGTATGACAGTATATAAGTACCTATAAGAGATGTAGAGCTGTAGAAGATATAGAGGTACAGTATGACAGTATATAAGGACCTATAGGAGATGTGCTGTATATAGGAGATGTAGAGCTGTAGAAGATATAGAGGTACAGTATGACAGTATATAAGTACCTATAGGAGATGTAGAGCTGTAGAAGATATAGAGGTA